TTGGAGAATGACACACTGGTGAACTGGGGAAGAGCTAACGAGGTGTATTACCTACCTGAAGCTTCTCAGAGGCTTGATGAAAATGTGTGTGTAGTACATCACCTATAAAGAACATGTGGCAGTGGGAACTAGCTGGAACTGAAAACATCTCCCTTCCTAAGAATGGAAATAGAACTGTTGTGATAAAAACAGGGACTTTTAAGCTATCGTGTGTTATAAGAGTAGCCTGTTCAGCCACTAATTATAGTAAATCAGCATGCCAGAAAGCACCAGTGTGAAACTCCTGTTCGCTGCTAAGTGACAATTTATAGAAACAAACAGGCTAAGATGCAGTGTAACGTTTTCATGAAATCTGTTCCTACTGTTTCCAGGAGGGGGAGTCAGCAAGCAGAAGCTAATCAGCAAGTCAAATAGCAGGAAGTCAAAGTCTCCGATTCCTGGACAGGGATATTTGGGAACCGAAAGACCTTCTTCTGTCTCATCCGTACACTCAGAAGGGGACTACCACAGACAGACTCCAGTGTGGGCCTGGGAAGATAGGCCCTCATCAACAGGTGAGAAATGGGTTTCTTTCAAGCTTAAACCAGGTGTAACATCTGTAGAAAGGTCAGATGTAGACATACTGTCACGCTGGTGTATTGGTGAAAAGATTACAGCATTACAGGATTTTCTGAAGCAGATGTTCTGCTAGTTGTCACAACCAAAACCAGACTGTCTTTCAGATACAGATCTCTTAGAGCAGCTCATGTTTTTGACTTGGAGAACCTCTCTTTGATTCAGGTTCAACACAGTTTCCTTATAACCCGCTGACGATGAGGATGCTCAGCAGTACGCCACCGACATCGATTGCGTGTGCCCCACCGTCCATGACCCAAGCAACCACTCACCAACAGAACAGGATATGGGAGCGAGAGCCTGCACCACTGCTTTCAGCACAATACGAGACTCTGTCTGACAGTGATGACTGAACTATGCAGATTTTTTTGTTTTTAATTTGCGGGTCAAAAAAAGAAATCTATTTTTGACTTGAGCCCATAGAGACTTTCCAAGAGAGCAAGGGCCACACAATGAAGAATTGATGGGAGAGTCCGTTAAATGCCTTCTGCACCAGCCGCGTGTTGGAGGATCGTGATCGAGAAGGTTGACTTACTAAAGATAAATATGTAAAGAGTTTTTAAAAATGTGGACTATTCCTGTTCTACATCTATTTGTAAAGAAAACCATAATGTCTTTAAATCATTCTTCTGTAAATAGAGAGTACTTTTTGCAGTGTTTTTTTCCCTTGCTATAGTATCTGGTGTACTTATGTTCAAATCATTGCCTAAACTTTGGGGGTCATTTTGTAATTTTTTTTTAAGCGTTTCCTTCAGTGTAGAGTACTCTTCATAACCCTAGCCTCCTTACCAGCCTAGCCTAACCGTAACTCTAGCCTCCCAACCAGCCTAGCGTCATTGCCTATTTAATGCCGTGCCACTTCTTGCGGGCATTGTGCTTTTCTATAATTTTCTTTTCCTAGACACACTTTCTCAGTGGTGTTCAAGCTCTTGTGAAAATCTTGATTTTTAAGACTGACCCCTTCCTGAATTCTGTACATTAACATAGGCCGGTTCGCTGGAATAAGATGATATATTTCTTTGAATTTTAAATTCTGCCACACTGTAAATTTTTGGTGCAGTTGGTTTTATTTAGCAACACTACAGAAATGTTATTGCATGGGTATGTTATGGTTCATTTTAAAAAGGATAAAAGAAACAAAGAGAACAGCTTCTGGAGGCATACCTCACTGTTATGCACACTGGGAATTTTAACCATGCCCCAAAAGCCTAATTTAGTGTTTTCTGTTTCTGCATTGTATGCAGTTGAAACAAGCTACTAGGCTTTACTGTCATAGTTAACCACAGCAAATGGCTTACCTGAACAGAGGCTCTGGGTGGGTTCATAAATCCTTTAAGAAGAAAAACCTCTACATCCGAAGTTCAAATAAAACAAAATGCTTTTACAGAATAATTAAGCAACACACGAGTCAACTACTTGGCTTCTGTTACAACCAGTTTGCAGTAGGTACTGTGATTTTTACTTTCCTCCAGTCTGATTTTAAAATCTTTATGTAATAATTATTTTAAAGTCTGCATCCCAATCCCTAGCCCTATAAACAGGCTTTTGGTGGAAGTCCGTACAGATGCGTGGCTTAACTCCTGAAGTGTGCAATACTTATTATTTTTTTTAAATTGTATATGGTACTAGGAGAGTGTCCTTAATCATTCATCTATCAATGCCTGCTATGATATGCTTGTAGCTCATGTATACATACATCCGTTTGTGGTATCACAGGGTGTCCTGGCATCCATACTCAAGAGCATCTTCTTTTTTGCTGCACTGACCTCAGGAAGTGAATTTAAATCTTCTGGGGTAGAAGGACTGATTTACAAATAGCACTGAGCTGGGGGCTGATGTGGGCCGTCTGATTCCAAACTGCTTTTGCATCTCATGGATGAACAGAATCTTTGCCTTGAAGTTATTTTCCAGTCAAAATAGTTTTAACTTAATACTGTATTTGCGATACGTTGTATGGAGGGTATAATGCAGCTGTGTAACCTTAAGCTGTGTAAGCTCTACATCTTATGGAAGGACTGTAACAGTCCAGGTACAAACAGGAAGCAGTACAGGACTATTTATCGACAGCAAATTTACTTTGAGTACTTTGGAGGAAAGCCTTTTTGTCCTAAGCGCTGGAAAGAAAAAATGCAAGGAGCTCATTTGGAAGCTTGACACTGTATTGCAAATACAGAATTACTTTGCTACTTCTTTAAAATATTGCATCAGAGTAAATCAGTTGGCAGTCTTAAATCTCCTTGCAGTCTTTCTCTTAAGATTTTTCTCACCCTCCCATCCTTTACCCTTCTGGTTTGTAGTGAAGCTTTCATCCTGTTTGTAGACCTGTTATTTTAATTTTTTTTGTTCCCACAGCAGCATATCCTGGAAAACAAGTTGATCTGCCCTTTTTTGCAGATTTAAATTTGGAGCGGAGAGTGAAGTTCCACTGTAAAACTCACTTGTTCTCACATTCTTAGTGTAACAAATACCGCGTGAAAGAGGCATGTACAGACAAATATCTCTGCTAACTGTACAGTAAGTATAGCACGACCATCGCAAAGCTTCTTGTTATTGCTGCAGCAGCAGCAAGCTATCCAAAGTAGGGTAGTCCCTTTCTCCTAAGATACAGCTTGAGTGGCATTTGCACATAAAATGTTGCTGCTTTTTTTGTTTGTTATCCGAGTTTTAACTTCTCCAGTGTAAAAACCTCTCCAGAGCCTAAGTTAGGGTTTACCACAATTCCAGTAATCTTCAAGTATGGAATTACATCTGACCTGTTTCAAACAGGAAGGTGTTTGTAAATAATGTTTACAAAGTGTAGTTTACGACAACTTTTTAACTGATTTCTGATCAGTGCTTTCACAATGCTTTCATCTTGATATGTTTTGTGATTCTGATATGAAATCATTTAAGACTTGAAAAACCCATGCATCATAAAACTCAACATTTTTTTTTCCACACAATGTCTTCAGTAGACAGTGACTTCTGGATTCAGACCAATCAATAAAGGGGATCAGTTCTCCATTTGGTTTTCCTGTGTCTCCCTCTTGTTTTGCAGCATCAAGCTATGATCATGAGAACAGGCAAAACACTTCCCTTAGGGCGTGCTGCAGGCTTCCCAGTTAATGCTGCTGGAGCGCCAAAGGTCTGCACTTAAATACCAAAACCCAGAACTTTAAAGATGGGCTCTACTGTGTTAGAGCCTCTATTAGTACAAGTGTGCCTGTAACAGCCATATTTTTATTTCCTAGCTTGCTGAGAACAAAGCTGTATCTGTGAAAGTGAGTTTTTCCAGCTTCAATGAACATCTGCTCTAGAAAACCTGCATGCCTCTTCTTAGCTCAAAGTTAAGCAGAACTGAAGCCACTAATACTGCTGTAAGTAAACTAATCATGATGCAATTAAGGCTTGTACCAACCAGCTGAAGTTCCTACAAATAAGAGGTTAAAATAGTGCCTGGTTAGTGACAGAACTGGTTAGTTCCACTATCTTAGCTAGATACAGATTTGGCAACTTCTGGTTTGATTCTCCTTTGTCCTTAACCTCAGGCTTCCCTGACAAGTAGAACTAAAATATTCTGTTCCAGAAGCAGGCTGTTCACACTAGATTCACATGAAGGCAAGTACCTTACAAACCTGATAGTGTGTACATACCGTCTTCTCCAACAGGAAGCCTCATTATTGTAGCACTGACCTACCTAAGAACAGAGGATGGCTTGGCATTTAGTGTGCTCTTGACTGGACTAAGGTAGCTTAATGTATTTTTGACAACAGCTGTTTTGGTAACATGGTCTCACCCCTCCTCAGAGAGGGTGTGCTCTATCTTTGGATGCTAAATGTTTCAAAGGAAAACACTTGATCTTCAGGCAACCTGTTTGGAAAGGACATGGAACAACAGCTCTGCCCTAGTGCAGGTATAGTCTGCAAAGTGCTCTATGGGAGTTAATCCATAACTGAACTGCAGCACTGACAAAAGCACACCCAGTTGCACTAATCAGCACATAAAGAGTGAGACAATTCCTGCCTGTTTTTTCATAACTTAGCTTTAGTATAGCCACATTTTGAAACTTATACTTCTGTGAACAGTCAGGAGTGGTAAATGACTACTCCTTGACTTAACTGCAAGTATTAATACCAGGCTAGATTTGCACTTCACTGGCAGTCAAGACAAAGTTAAATCCTTAATACAGCAGGTCATTAACCACAGATTACACTACAAATTTACATAGTTAAGATACCACTTTTATTTCTGTCTAAGGTGTTAAGAAATAGCAGCCCTTCTTGTTAAGCAGTCCTTAACCTCTTCAGTGGTTTCCGCTTCAGCGGACCAAACTTGTCCCAGGGCTGCTTTTACTGACCAACCCTTGCTGCTGTCAGCCACATCAAACTTGGACTCTGTGGCCAAACTCATTTGGAGCCTTTTCTCCTCTTGGCCAGCTCAGCTAGTTCTTCCTGGATATGCTGGACAGAAGCAGCATCTCCCTTCTGTTGTGCCTGCTTGAGAGCTTCTTTGTACACTTGTTTTGCTTGCAGAAAGTCTTCTGTAGCAAGAAGAAAAAGTGGCACTTTCAGAGTAGCCTCCTGAAACTAATCACCTGCAAAAGACTGCTTGGAACACTTCAAGAGAACATCCAGCATAGGGTGCCAACTAAAAGAGCCAGACAGCAGCAATGATGATAGGACAAGGTGATGCTTCAGCATTACAGGCTCATTGAAACAAGTCTCAAGCATGTCTTCTGTCCTTTTGGAACCAGTTACTGTACATACAGGATGAGGGAAACTAGATTCCCTGGCAACCTATTGAGTCAGATGCACCAGTACTGCATTTATCTTGGACAGGATCCTTCAGCAGCTGAACTCAATTTGAACACAAGTTGCCCACACTAAGTCTGCTTAAACTAAAAACAGTAACACAAAAATAACACTACAGTTCAATCCTACAATACAGGTATTTGCAGTCAGCACAAGCACAGTGACAGAGGCTGGGCATTTCTTTACCTACCTTTGTGCATCAGAATTGCTGCCAGGTTATTCAGCACCATGTACTCCTCAGGGTGTCGAGTCTCCTTTGCCAGATCAGCTGCCCTCTTCACATAGGAGTATGCCTCATCATAGTGTCCCTGAGCATCCAGTACAGTTGCTAAGTCATTCATCAGGACCACAGTCTGCACCAGGACAAGAAAAGCAAGCCTCAGAGCAAGGCTTGTGTAGAACTCAGGGGCAGCAGGAGCACCACATTCATACCCATCACACCAGTAAAAGTATTTCCTACAGAAGCCTTCAGTAAGAAAGCGCCTTATATTTGTATCTCAGCATGCTCCATGCTCATTATTCCTGACAAGAAAGCAGAACCTTATTTAGTGCTGTGTACATCTGATGCCAGCAAAGCTGCTTTTAAGGCTGCTTCATTCCCTAGACCAGCCTTTCTTTTCCTAGTAGTCCAACTACCATTGTACACATCACCTGTGGATGAGTCTCTCCCTGAACATCATTAGATATCTGCAGAGCCTTCTCATACATTTTTTGGGCCACTGGGAGCTGGTTAATGTTTTGGAGATAGCGAGCATAGGAGTCTAGGCTCATCCCAAGCAAGAGACAGGTGTTGGCCTTTTCTTCAGCTGCAAATAAGAGAGAGGTGGAAGTGATCACTTCAGTAAGATCAAGTATGAGTCTCCATCCTAAAAGAGTAGGAAACTCAGGCAGCATTATACAACTGATTGATGTGAAGGAGCTGCTTAGGCAATATGGAAAGCAACATCAAGGACAGGGAAATGGAGAAAAGATAACGAGAGAAGCCTTTGACCGATAAGGCAGTCCCACCTGGTAAGACATCCTCAGGCAAGTCCTTTTGCTTGGCAATCTTCTCTTCTAAGGTCAGGATGCAGAACTCGTAGCCAGCCAGGGCTAATTTGTGCCTGCAAACTACAACAACTCAGCAAAACATGGCTCCTTCCATCCCTGAAGGGACAGATGTGAACACCTTCAATCTCCCATTCCAGAGGGCCTGAAAGGGAGCTCTTCCCCTTTACCAGAACCTTCTCATTCTCAGTGCTCTCTTCTTGATCATGGCCTGGACCTTTCTCTTAGCCCATGGGCAAAGGGATCCAAGATTTGGAGGGGGCTCCCCTCCACCAAGCAAGGCCAGCTAAGGCAACCCATGCCAATACTCCATTGAAAAATGAAGCTACAAGTTACCAGCCACCAACTACTCCAAAAGCCTTCTCTCCTGTGAGCTGTGGATTTAAGATTAAAGAGCAATACCCTCTATGGCTACTTCTGCCCAAAGCTGGACAGGTCCTAACAGTAGCCACTGTGCTGCATGACAGTGGGTGGGCAAATACCATGCCTGTAGGAACCTTTAAGATGATGGTATCTTATCACATCAAAGCTTCCCCAGGCACTCTGTTCTTGAAGAGCCTCTGCTTGGCCACTACTGCCACTGCGAAGCAGAGATGAAAGCAGAACACGACTTCAGCCGGGAACTCACTGTTTCTGAGCAGCATAGATACTGGCCAGCTTGAGGGACATCTCAAGGATTGCATTGTCATCCTGCCAGGAGGACACATAATGCAACTGTTACTCTTCTTGCACCTCCCCAGTAGAAACATTACCTTGCCAGAGAACAAGTTTAGACCTTGAAAATGCCCATGCTGCTGTCTCCAGAGCTGCCATCCCCTTAAAGGAATTTCGTGAGAGGCTGGCAAGCTCATAGCTAGTATTGCCAATTCCCAATAGCAGGCATTACAGCACAATAAATAGACCAAAGAATTAATACTCCCCCAAAAGCCTTTATCAGATCAACATACCTCCTTCATGTCCCCTGCAAGCAAATAGCTCATACTTGCTTTGTAGAGTTTTTCTGCCTGAAATTAAATTTTTGAAGATAAAAAACAAAAGTCTCTATACTTTACAGACGCAGACTACTAAGAGAAGCCCATCTCACAATTTGTGGCATTTACACTGTACATCAAGACCAGTCAAAAGTGAAAGGCTAACCAGAGCCCAATGGTTCTGCCAATGAGTGGGTCCTTTCAGTTTCTGCATTAGGGTTCCTTCACCATCCATAAGCTTACCACAACCATGTTCCTTCAGGGCTTTCCCAAATTCTCTTTGGGACAGAAATCTGAATGCTTGACTGTGGCATTGAGAGTAGGAAGCATTCCTTCCCACGCACACCATGTTGGAGCTCAAAACTTAACTTTAAGAGCATCTTTCCTAGCAGCAAGTGCTCCATGGGCTTGCAGTCCCAAGGCTGATTATTCTGCTCTATAATGGGAGATCTCTGCCTCACAACTCTCAGTATGCAGCCTGTCACAGCACACCACACCTTAACGATAACAAGATGTTAACACCCCTTAAAATTCAGAGAGGAAAAAAACCAGTTACTCACATTGTCCAGCTGTCCCTGCATGTAGGCCACATTTGCCATCTAGAAGAGACAGACAGTGTTGAAGCTCCACAGAGGCTGCAGAGACCAGCCTCAACACAACTGCTTTTCCTTCTGCCTATAGCTCCACCACAGCCCCAGCATCTACTCTACAACAACTGCAGTATTTACTGTAATTGCCGGATAGGGGTTGCTGCAAATAATTTTCTTTAACGTTTAATACTTCATAGCCTGTTATCAACCCCTGGTCTCCAGAATGAGTGTTTTGGCAAGAAAAAGGTCACCATTCCTATAAATTGATGACCAGCTCTCCCTTTCCAGAGCGCAAACCTCCTTCCAGAAAAGGCACGTGCATCTACCTAGTGCAGGTAGGTACCACTGTAAGAAGTATAAGTAGTACCTCCAAGTGCCTTACTCCTTGCCACCGGCAGCATTGTGGAGCATCTCGGGAATAACAATGCCGAGGAGACCGCTCTAACTAAGCCTCGGTTGGAAAACCCTAGTGCAGAACTGCAGCACCACAGCGACTTCTAGCACAGACCAGCAGGGAGCAAGAGGGCTGCCAGGCCCCGCAGCCTCACCATGCTGTAGGCATAGACGATGGCTTTCCTGTTATCCGACTGGTGCGACAGCCTCAGGGCTTGGTGCAGAAGGTGCTCGGCCTCCCCCAGCTCGCCCTTGATGACGCTGAGCTGTGGAGAAATGAAGGAAAAGCCGAGGGGCCGCTCACGCTCCAGGGTCCACCCGTGAGGAGCT